TAAATTTGTAATTATTATGGGTACATGATAGTTGTATATCTTTATAGGGTACATGTGATGTTTTGATACAGGCATACAATGTGAATTAATCAAATCAGGATAATTTAATTGGGGTATCACCGCCTCAGGCATTTATCTTTTTTTTGTGTTAGGAACATTCCAATTCTATTCTTTTACTTATTTTAAAATATACCCTAACGTATTGTTGATTACTCTCCTTGACTTTTAAACTCTGATACTACCATAGCACCTCTAAATGCAGTTTCTAAAGAAGAATATAGCAAAGTGGTGAAGTGTTCCAGGTTTGGAGCTGAGTAGACTGAATCTAAGCTTTAATATTTAAATAATGAGAGTGAGTTCTCTTTGAAGTCTTCTGTTATAAAATCAAATGAATAACAGTCTCTATCTCATTGAACTGCTATAAGGATAAAATTAGATAAATAAGATAATCTATAAACACATTGCCTGGCATATTAAAGCACTCAATAAATATGTATTGTTTTTAATAAAAAGAAGAAACTATATGCTCATAAAATTTAGCATATCAGATGAGTCTGAGATGACACAGAAAATGCATATTGTAATTTTAAGTGAAAATAGCAACATTCAAATTTGTATATGGTTCCAAGATTACTTATTTATTACAAGGGGAAAATATATCTTTCAAATGGAGAGATCTGGTGGTTAGCACCTTAACCAAGAGGTTGTATTTAGCATTACCAAAAGTTAGACACCCAACATTATCAGCCTTCTAATGTGATATACCTGCCAAAATGTTTAACTCAAATCTAATCATAATAAAATAATTTGATACATCCAGAATATCTAAAAGACAACTAGACAGTACTCTTCAAACATATTTACGTCATAGAAAACAGACAAAATATGGGAGAATATTCTAGATTAAAAAAGATTAACTGATATAACCACCAAAATGAAATGCATAAAACCTTGATTGGATTTTGGGTCAAAAAATGATATAAAAGACTTTTGAGGCTGGGCGCGGTGGCTCACGCCTGTAATCCTAGCTCTCTGGGAGGCCGAGGCGGGCAGATTGTTTGAGCTCAGGAGTTCGAGACCAGCCTGAGCAAGAGCGAGACCCCGTCTCTACTAAAAATAGAAAGAAATTAGCCAAACAACTAAAAATTTTTTAGATTAGCCAGGCATGGTGGCATGTGCCTGTAGTCCCAGCTACTCAGGAGGCTGAGGCGGGAGGCTAGCTTGAGCCCAGGAGTTTGAGGCTGCAGTGAGTTATAATCAGCCACTGCACTCTAGCCCAGGCAACAGAGCAAGACCCTGTCTTTAAAAAAAGAAAAGACTTTTGAGCCAGGTATAGTGAGTCCTGAGTAACCGGGACTACAGGCATATGCCACTATACCCAGCTAATTTTTA